GACCTGGTATCGCCATGGGATACCACTGCACTAGAGCATGATGGGAGATATGATAGTCTGATCTGCCTGTTAGTAATCACATCTTAGCAGCCAGAAATAGATGCTTGCCTGTTTTTTCTTGATTTGAACTTAGGTAATAGTTTAGAGTTGATAAGCTCAACAGCTTCATTCTGTATAACTATGGTGGAAGTAGGAACTGAACTTAATGGCAAGGAGGCATGAAACAGGATAATGTTATTTTTTCACAAGGATTCTTTTATAACAGAAATTTGTAAAAAAGTTGAATAAAATTGTCTTGACAAGAAGGCTGTGTGGTTTAAGCTATATGTTGTTATGGCAATGGATGTAAACAAACCGTTACTAAGGAACAGTTGAGAAGATGGAAATATGTTTAAGGATGACAATGGCTTGTGGTTCTATCACAGAGTTTTTTATGACGCTCATCACAGAAGCGATGTGTGTGGCCAAATTATTGTACTGCTACATATTCATGAATTGGAATAGACTTACTATAAAAACTTGCTGATTTATAGATTTTTTACTGTTCAATAAGTAATAGAGTTCTTTCAGGATAAATAAGAGTTAATTCTGTGACCAAGAATGAGGTTGGTACATGCACACTTACTCAGTGTTAAGGGGCTGATCATTTACTTATGGTGGGGGCAGCTCTGGGATTAATGTTGGCGACAAGACATAACCAAGTCCCTAATAGTACAGGATGGTTGGAGCACCTGCAAGTCATACACCGCAAAGACCCTAATCCTGCAGGGTGGTTGGAGCACCTGCAAGTCATACACCGCAAAGACCCTAATCCTGCAGGGTGGTTGGAGCACCTGCAAGTCATACACCGCAAAGACCCTAATCCTGCAGGGTGGTTGGAGCACCTGCAAGTCATACACCGCAAAGTCCCTAATCCTGCAGGATTGTTGGAGCACCTGTAAGCCGTACATTGCTAAGCCCCAACTCCTGGAGGATGGTTGGTGAAGCTGAAAGCTGAACACTGCTTAGTTCCTAATCCTGCAGGATGGTTGGTACACCTGCAAGTCATACACCGCTAAGTCCCTAATCCTGCAGGATGGTTGGAGCACCTGTAAGCCGTACATTGCTAAGCCCCAACTCCTGGAGGATGGTTGGTGAAGCTGAAAGCTGAACACTGCTTAGTCCCTAATCCTGCAGGGTGGTTGGTACACCTGCAAGTCATACATTGCTAAGTCCCTAATCCTGCAGGATTGTTGGTACACCTGCAAGTCATACATTGCTAAGCCCCTACCCTTGGAGGATGGTTGGTGAAGATGAAAGCTGAACACTTCTTAGTCCCTAATCCTGCAGGATGGTTGGTACACCTGCAAGTCATACACCGCTAAGTCCCTAATCCTGCAGGGTGGTTGGAGCACCTGCATTCATACACCGCAAAGTCCCTAATCCTGCAGGGTGGTTGGAGCACCTGCAAGTCATACACCGCAAAGCCCCTAATCCTGCAGGATGGTTGGAGCACCTGTAAGCCGTACATTGCTAAGCCCCAACTCCTGGAGGATGGTTGGTGAAGCTGAAAGCTGAACACTGCTTAGTCCCTAATCCTGCAGGATGGCTGGTACACCTGCAAGTCATACACCGCTAAGTCCCTAATCCTGCAGGATGGTTGGAGCACCTGTAAGCCGTACATTGCTAAGCCCCAACTCCTGGAGGATGGTTGGTGAAGCTGAAAGCTGAACACTGCTTAGTCCCTAATCCTGCAGGATGGTTGGTACACCTGCAAGTCATACATTGCTAAGTCCCTAATCCTGCAGGATTGTTGGAGCACCTGTAAGCCGTAAATTGCTAAGCCCCAACTCCTGGAGGATGGTTGGTGAAGCTGAAAGCTGAACACTGCTTAGTCCCTAATCCTGCAGGATGGTTGGTACACCTGCAAGTCATACATTGCTAAGCCCCTACCCTTGGAGGATGGTTGGTGAAGCTGAAAGCTGTACACTGCCTAGTCCCTAATCCTGCAGGATGGTTGGAGCACCTGCAAGTCATACATTGCTAAGCCCCTACCCTTGGAGGATGGTTGGTGAAGCTGAAAGCTGTACACTGCTAAGTCCCTAATCCTGCAGGATGGTTGGTACACTACCAAGTCATACATTGCTAAGCCCCTACCCTTGGAGGATGGTTGGTGAAGATGAAAGCTGAACACTTCTTAGTCCCTAATCCTGCAGGATGGTTGGAGCACCTGCAAGTCATACATTGCTAAGCCCCTACCCTTGGAGGATGGTTGGTGAAGCTGAAAGCTGTACACTGCTAAGTCCCTAATCCTGCAGGATGGTTGGTACACTACCAAGTCATACATTGCTGAGCCCCTACCTTTGGAGGATGGTTGGTGAAGATGAAAGCTGAACACTTCTTAGTCCCTAATCCTGCAGGATGGTTGGTACACCTGCAAGTCATACACCGCTAAGTCCCTAATCCTGCAGGATGGTTGGAGCACCTGTAAGCCGTACATTGCTAAGCCCCAACTCCTGGAGGATGGTTGGTGAAGCTGAAAGCTGAACACTGCTTAGTCCCTAATCCTGCAGGATGGTTGGAGCACCTGCAAGTCATACATTGCTAAGTCCCTAATCCTGCAGGATGGTTGGTACACCTGCAAGTCATACATTGCTAAGTCCCTAATCCTGCAGGATTGTTGGAGCACCTGCAAGTCATACATTGCTAAGTCCCTACCCTTGGAGGATGGTTGGTGAAGCTGAAAGCTGTACACTGCCTAGTCCCTAATCCTGCAGGATGGTTGGAGCACCTGCAAGTCATACATTGCTAAGCCCCTACCCTTGGAGGATGGTTGGTGAAGCTGAAAGCTGTACACTGCTTAGTCCCTAATCCTGCAGGATGGTTGGAGCACCTGCAAGTCATACATTGCTAAGCCCCTACCCTTGGAGGATGGTTGGTGAAGCTGAAAGCTGTACACTGCTAAGTCCCTAATCCTGCAGGATGGTCGGTACACCTGCAAGTCATACACCGCTAAGTCGTTGTTTCAACAGGAAATCACATGACCTGGATTATGGTCGTGCAGATGTAAATATGGGCAGTACATCACCTCTTCTCTTTGTTAAGTCACAATTTGAAAACAAACCTTTGACAGTTGCGATGTGTGTGGCCGGGAATTTTGTATCTGTAAACATGATCGGGCATCAAATCTAAACGTGTTCACATACCCGTGATTTTGTCAGAAACTATTCTTCCATACATTACCAATATTGTTTATACATGTATTACTTCGTAGATGGATCTGACTTCACTAATTTCACAAATGAAGAAAGTAATAAAAATTAGTCATTTTATTTTCCAACTGAATCTGTTATATAATCCTTTTCTTAATAATAAAGTCTTGGGCACAGGCCCATTTTGATGGCTTGTTACATAATGGTTGGTTGGTTGGTTTGTTGTTTTATGACACACGCAGCAATGTTCCAGCTATATGACGGCGGTCTGTAAATAATCAAGTCTGGACCAGACAATCCAGTGATTGACATTCTTAGCATCGATCCATGCAATTGGGATCGATGCTTCAACCAAGTCAGCAAGCCTGTCCACCCGATCCCGTTAGTTGCCCCTTACGATAAGCGTGGTATCTGTTGGACTATGTGTAATAATAGTTAGTGGTTCCAGAATTTGTGACATTCATTGTTGTAAAACTGGTCATTGTCATGTAAAAAACTATAAAATAATCAACAAAGAAATATCTTTTTTAGCTTTTGTTGGGAATCATTACATCTTGTAAGGATTTTGGGCAATAAAATACTTGAAAAATAGTATGCAGATGATAATTACTTTCATTATTCATCAGGCATGATGATAATGACTTGCTAATGTTTTACCCCTCCTCACCCAGCAAATGTAGGTTTCACTGATGAAACAGAACAAGCCAGCTAGGGCCCTCCAGACAGTTCTGATGAATGTTTGGTGATATGACCATGTCACAACATGCTGCATCACAAACCTGTCATCTTGCATTTGTGATCACACAGGTTGAATTAACAGGAAAGAGTGTGGTGTGGTCGTATGTGACTCAGTGGTGTCAAGCGTGACTGTGTGGTGTCAATCATGATTGAATGGTGTCAAGCGTGACTGTGCGTTGGCAAGCATTACTGGGAGGGTGCCTCAAGTGGTGTTAAACGTGACTGGGGTGTCTAGTGTGACTGGGTTGTGTCAGTCATGATTGACTGGTGTCAAGCGTGACTGGGGGACCTCAAGTGGTGTTAAACGTGACTGGGGTGTCTAGTGTGACTGGGTTGTGTCAGTCATGATTGACTGGTGTCAAGCGTGACTGGGGGACCTCAAGTGGTGTTAAGCGTAACAAGGGGTGGTGGCAAGCATGACTGGGAGGGTGTCACAAGTGGTGTCAGGCGTGACTTGGGTGTCAAGTGTGACTGGGTTGTGTCAAGCGTGACATTAGGTCATCCATAATACTTGTGTGTTCCTCATCTCCAGTCTCAGCTCTAGAGGGGAGTAGGAAATAGAAGGGCAAAAATATCTTTGTTTGATGTAGCTGATAGATTGTCCATTCTTTGTTCAGACATGTGCAAGAATGGTTCACAATGTTAATCACATACTACCTGACCAATTCTACTCCATAATTTTCACTTGGACTTGGGGCAGTTGGATAGCTAAGTGGTTAAGCGTTCACTTGTTGCGAGGAATGCCTGGGTTTGATACCTACATGGGTACACTATGTGAAACCCATTTGTAGTGTCTCCTGTTGGGATATTGCTGGAATATTGCTGAGAACCGCCAGATCTAACTGATCAACTCATTTGGGCACCACAGAGGCTTATTGTGAGACATGGGGGTGATTGGGTAACCTAGTGGTTAAAACATTTGCCCGTCATGCCGAAGACCTGGGTTTGATTTCCGACATGGGTACAATGCGTGAAGCCCATTTCTGGTGTCCCCCGCCATGATATTGCTAAAAGTGGCATAAAACAATACTCACTCACTATTATGAGACATTTTGCACTCTTCTGTTGCAGATTTCCCGGGAATCTATTGATGCAGTAAAGGACTACTTTCGTGATGACATGCAGAAACAGGATTGGATGCTGATTGTGGAACTCAAAAAACAGTTTGCAATTATTTGAATTAGGTCAAAGGTCAAGGTCATCTGGATTCCAACAATTTGACTACATTCATAAGCATATATGTTTCTGATACTGATAGTCTTGGAGTCACCAGCATCTAGTGCATTTGGCAATCAGCCACTGGTTCCTACATGTTTATGCTTGAGATTCGAGAGAGAAAAATTATTCCCTCAAACTTATTACATTGAACTGAAAAAAATCTTTATTGATTGATTATCAACATTGAGTAAGAATTTGACCGCAAAATCTGATTGCATGAACCATTGTGCATGTTCTTTCACTTAATCGGTCAGTTCTGTACATAAGTGCCAAATCTTTAACTCTCATACCGGTATGTATTTGAAATACTAGTGATAAGTATTCATTGGGAAGGGTAGGCCCCCTTCATCTGTAGAAGAGATGCCACTGTCCTCTTTCATCATCTAGTAGTTACTACATAATTCAAGTTCCCATGTTCTAAGTACAAAGTTTTATGGTGATATGTAAGATTGTAATTTGTATTAGGTTATTCTTATTGTAATATTTTTGAAAATATGTTAACCATGTTCAGGAGAAGATAATGAAAACTAGACAATTTGATATTATGAACTTCATTCCATAAAGATCGTGAGCATGTTACACAACGTAAGCCCTAAATAATATTGTTATGTGTGGATGCTGTTACTACGATTACAGGATTTTTTTAAGAAAGAAGAAATAATTTTGGCACATACCTTGGTTGGAGTTTGTCCTGTTTGGTGTACTTGTAGTCGTGATTGTTATTTGCAGCATGTTTTTCGCTGTTTGTATTACCGACTTGTTTCAGCTGTTGAGTGGCATCCCATCACTGCTTGATGAGGTCTTCATTATGATGTTTATATATCATTCCGATACTCAGAGCTTGTGTGCAAGGAATGAAGACATGACTTAAGTACAATGTCTGGCCCAGACTACACCTGGAAACTCATTAAGCACTGTGAACTATACTACTCAAAGGAAGTTAAAAAATACCTGATTCATTACTACATTCATGTTACTACAGGTAATTTGTCATATGAAAGAATTGGGTGTTCTTTAACTCCTTTTGATAAGTACATATATTTCCATGTAAAATTACAGAATACTGTTCAAAGAGGTGTCAAACCCATCTAACTCACTCACTATGCTGCAAAATGTTGATCTACTTTGGGATTTCTGGTCAGAATCAGCCCCGGTAGTTTGGCGGGGATTCGAGTGCAACCCCCATCCAGACGGCGAGCACAAATCCCTGTCACACATATTTGTCCAGAATTTTGCAGATAATACTTCTTAGCAACCCACTTTAGTGTAATCTGAAATGTGAAATTATTACTCTAAAATGTGGGTGATGTTATTTGAGTAATAGTGAGGGAGGGCAATTGTGACCATTTGGAGGAACATGCAGCGTTATTGTTTCAACTGCCGGATAGATATCAATGATATCTCAGACATTTATCAATGTCATATGTCAATAATTCCTGCGAATGTGTTAACCTCTATTAGATCATTGTCATAAATCCTGTATCACCCTATAAAATCTTTTAGATTTTCAACAGATGAGCTCTTCACTGTCAGCTATCCATAATCAGTCAATAGGGAAATAGGCTTCCTTTGCCTAGTGCTCTTGCGCATGCGTAACGTGAGAAAACCTCCCTCGTTTCCTGTGTGTGCGGCGTGAACATGGAAAAGATATTCTGAGTTTCAAGCACAGGTTTGGCTTAGTTTTTATGGGAATGAGATCAGTGTCTTATGTAGATATCGCCAAACATTCATGGAAATTCAGCATATATGAAAATATAGGAGCAGTGGTGCTAAACATTTTTCAACATGTATATGTTAAATTGGTTTTGCTTTAAGCAAAGTTTAACAATTATTTCATGGGACAGAATTGTACATGTTTATGAATGTTTTTGTTTTTTATGCATAAGAAATATGTCAGACGAGGTGATAATTGTTTTGATATGCGATAATAACTCTGTTTCCATGGTGAAATATACTCTTAATTCATATATTTGAAGGCAGTTATAAGACCGATTGAACTGCATATATGTTTGGGCGGAAGTGTGCGATGTTTTCTTTGATAGTTTGTGAAGAATTAGAAGGGTATTTCTATTAAAAGGATCGATTTCAATGTGAATAAAATGACAGTGCCCACATCACAAAGTGTAGAATTGATGATATGTACAATATGTCTTTACATAAAGGTGAGAAGAATATCAAGATGTCAATAATATACCTACATCTTGTGTCATATATTGAACCAGACAGTTTTACCTGTGGGCTTACCTGTCGTTCCACCATTTGCTGGGCAGAGATGCATCCCTTTTGCCTACAAGACTTGCTGATCGTGGGTTCAAATCCCAAATTCACACTGATGATGATGTTTGGTTTGTCTGCACCATAGTTTGTTTTAGGTTTCTACAGCCTGTATTCTCTTCCAAAATGGCAAACTTCTTAGTTTAGGGTCTGGACTTCTCTTCAAGATGAAACTGACACGCCATATATATATATGAAATAGTATTCTAAGTGATGTTAAAACAACTTACAAATTTATGTTTGTGGTAAAGTGCTGATATACAAGATGTATTTGTAAAATATGGACTTAAGTTTCAAATAAAGCTGGAATTTGTGACTATGGTTTGAATCTGTATTCACAGTTTTCTATTTATAGTCTGTGTACATGGTTTGTATATAGTCTTTATTCACAGTGTGTAATTAGGGCGTGTATTCACAGACTGTATTCACAGTGTAATTAGGGCATGTATTCACGGTGTATATTCACAGTGTGTAGTTAGGGTGTGTATTCACGGTCTGTATTCAAACTGTGAATTAGGGCATGTATTTTAAGTGTTTATTCATGGCCTGTATTCACAGTGTGTAATTACGGCCTGTATTCACGGTCTGTATCACACTGTGTAATTAGGGCATATATTCAAAGTGTGTTATTATGGCCTGTATTCACAGTGTGTAATTACGGCCTGTATTCACTATCTGTATTCACAGTGTGTAATTACGGCCTGTATTCACAGTCTGTATTCAGTGTGTAATTACGGCTTGTAGTCATGGTCTGTATTCACACTGTGGAATTACGGCTTGTATTCACAGTTTGTAATTTGGGTGTGTATTCAGTCTGTATTCACTGTGTGTAATTACGGCCTGTATTCATGGTGTGTATTCACGGTGTCATTATGGCCTGAATTCATGGTGTGTATTCACAGTGTGTAATTATGGCCTGTATTCAAGGTCTGTATTCACAGTGTGTAATTAAGGCCTGTATTCACAGTCTCTTCCCACTATGGATTTATGGCCTGTATTCATGGTGTGTATTCACAGTGTAATTATGGCCTGTATTCACGGTCTGTATTCACAGTGTGTAATTACAGCCTGTATTCACGGTCTATTCACAGTGTGGATTTATGGCCTGTATTCATGGTGTGTATTCACACTGTAATTATGTCATGTATTCATGGTATGTACTCACATAGACTTGTTCATGTAGACTTGTCCCACTTCAAGTCAGAAAATTCACTTGTGATACTCCTGCTATGTGAAACTCATACCTGTGCCTCATGCCAGTGTGTATCTGTATTTATGCTCATAAACTATTCACTCATTGTATATTTGCTTCACATTGACCTTACTTCATCCATGTATTTATTACGTCAGTTACTGTCAAAATGTATCCTTGCAGCTTTTTGAATTCCGTGGAAAATTATGTATTACAATTTTTAGCTCACCAGGACCAAAAGTCCAAGTTAGTTTATGACATGACACGTTGTCGGTTGCCTGTTCTTCAACCCCTTGTATTGTTTGACTTCTCAAGAAATATATATTTGAAACATTGGAAATCGAAAATCTTTTACGAAGAGGAATTCTTAGAAAGCTCAAAGCCTGAAGAGCTGGAGATGTGTAGGACCATAATGTGGAATTGAATGGAAAACAATTTTTAGTTGGAGAAACTGTTAAAGCATCAGATTCTCAGAATCTAAGTGGCAGGTACCACTACATAAGGGTAGTGGGGAACTGGTTACTCTGATTGCCCTGGAACTGGGTACAATGATTGCCCTGGAACTGGGTACTCTGATTGTCCTGGAACTGGGAACACTGATTGTCCTGGAACTGGGTATTCTGATTGCCCTGGAGCTGGGTACCCTGATTGTCCTGGAACTGGGTACTCTGATTGTTCTGGAACTGAGAACTCTGATTGTCCTGGAACTAGGATCTCTGATTGTCCTGGAGCTGGGTACTCTGATTGTCCTGGAACTAGGAATTCTGATTGTCCTGGAACTGGGTACTCTGATGGCCCTGAAACTGGGTGTTCTGATTGCCCTGGAGCTGGGTACTCTGATTGTCCTGAAACTGGGAACTCTTATTGTCCTGGAACTGGGAACTCTTATTATCCTGGAGCTGGGTACTCTGATTGTCCTGGAACTGGGTACTCTGATTGTCCTGGAACTGGGTACTCTGATTGCACTGGAGCTGGGTACTCTGATTGTCCTGAAACTGGGTACTCTGATTGCCCTGGAACTGGGTGTTCTGATTGTCCTGGAACTGGGAACTCTGATTGTCCTGGAGCTGGGTACTCTGATTGCCCTGCAACTGGGTATTCTGATTGTCTTGAACTGGGTACTCTGATTGTCCTGGAACTGGGTACTCTGATTGTCCCGGAACTGGGTACTCTGACTGCCCTGGAACTGGGTACTCTGATTGCACTGGAGCTGGGTACTCTGATGGCCCTGAAACTGGGTACTCTGATGGTCCTGGATCTGGGTACTCCCCATCACTAACTCTGCTCACTTGACTCCCTGTAGTGTGTGTGCCAGTGTGGCACTGTGTGGTGCATCTGTGCAGGGATGTACCTACATCATTTTGAGCTTTCCTCCCATAATAGTAGCGCTGGGGTAGCCTAGTGGTTAAAGTGTTCTCTTGTCACACCGAAGACCAAGGTTCGATTCCCCATATGAGTACAATGTGTTAAACCCATTTCTGGTGTCCCCCCAATACTCACTCCTCCCATAATACGTAATAATAATAAACATTGCCAGTGTCCTGCTACAGTGAGGTGCAGCTGTCTTACAGTCACTGAATCATATTATTTTTATACTTCTTACCAGCCCTTACTGTAATGATTAGCCCTATATTATGCAAGTATGGATTTTCCAAAGGTTCAAGAATCTCCCATCTCACTGGGACCTCTTTTCAATTTAAATGGAGTTGCTTTTGCCGATCAAAAGTATGTATTTTCAGAGACTTGGGGTTAGTCTAGTGTCTGTGTCATGACCAGTGAAACAGCCACAAATCCTATTCTCAGTAATGTTTCGTGTGCTGTATGCCATGTGTATAATGTCACTCTCTGTATCATCATCCATAAGTTCCCCATCACACCCTCCCAGCATTGTGACTTTATCTATTGATAAACATGATGTTGCTTGAATCAAAACTCCAGATTCTACATAAAGCCAGATATTGATAAAGTATATATTTTCAAACATGATGCTTGATATATGAAAAAATATCAATGTGGAAGAATGTACAGATTGAAGTTAGTGTATATATGTACAACATGTTTCCTGCACTCATTGTAGTTACTCTCTGACCTCAAGATGAAGGTCACACAAGGCCCAAAATGTGAAGCTGAGATAGTTAAAGGTACTCAGATCATTAAAGATGTTGAGGGGGAATAGCATGTGAAATAGTATTTGAATTCCTCAAAATCATGGAACTGTTGCATGTCATGCGCCACTCAAATGTCAGAAGACGTTCCTGTGAAGTGTTGGACAATCTGCTTGGATCCCAGCTTGGATCCCAGCTTGGATCCCAGCTTCCTGCACAAGAACATTTATAGAGCTATCAAGATTACCATGTCTGCCTTCTTCAGGACTGTTCCCTATGTTTTGATCTCTTGTGGTTAGGATGTGATTAGTTGATTGGTGACAGAACACCTCCCTGTTGACTATGGTTGTTATGTTTCATCAGATACAAACCATTTGATTTTTGCAGTTGTCTAAGATTATTGTGTGTGTGGGGTGGGGGGGGGGGGGGAGTAATTCCTGAAAATGCACAAAATACAGCTAAAATTAGCGAAGAAAAACATGATATGACTTAAAATATGAGTAAAATATGAACATATTGTGTCTCAAACAAAAATTCCAGACAACCCCCTCCCCCATTTTTTCAAGAATATATTTGGTCTTTCTATGAAGGTGAACCAGGGAACATGATTGCCTCCCTTGAAGGGTTACTCTGAATAGTCTTTAGCTGTGGGATCTGACCATGATGGCCATGTATATGAATTAGCATCATAGAACTTGCTTGCTAAAGGGGAGACGCCAGGAGATTAATCCGACTTGTACTTGTTCATTCATTAGAATTATTTCATACATTGACCGAGGCAGGGTGAAATAAATAAAGCTGGTTGGTCTGTTGATGGGTACAGATGGCCTTATAAGGTTCACCCTTGCACTCGACAGTGTTACCACCACATCAATATCACATGACATAATTAATGAATGAATTATTTTGGCAAAGGGGATGCTATGGAAATAAATATAACATTTCACCATGTATCTGTTGTGTCTTTATTACTCAGTCTTTATTCATTTCTCTTGCAACATTGAGACTTGAGTGCAACCGTTTATTGCTGAGTTGCGGCACAGATGGCCCTGACGTGAACTGTGCAGAGTTGCATCCCTTGAACACACCAGGAACTTATATGATAGTGGGTATTAATCCTGGTTCGCCCCACTATATTTCTGGGTTTGTCAGCACTGTAACGGTACTCCTGCTTTTCACCTAAGTCGTAAACGTCTGAGACTGCATCTCTTTGGGTTTTTCTGACACATCAACCTGACATCACCCAATAAAACTGGAATCTTAACTCACTATGTTGCAGGGTGTTGTTGATCCCCTTCCAGGTATCAGGTCAGAATCAGCTCCTATAGTTGGCAGGTAATCAAGTGCATCCTATCTCACTTAATTTTGCATTGACACTTTTAAGTAACTTAAGCAAATATTTCTGTAGGAGTGTAGGTTAGAAATAAGTGGTCATAAGATGAAATATGGCTGCCATTTGGACTTATTACCTGCCAAACAGTAGTGCCCGATTCTTGTTCTACAGGCAGACGACCTCTGTGTCTGGCGTCTGCCCAGAGAACGGAAAGTCGGTGGTTTGATCTCCGTCCAAAAATGGGACTTCTTGTTACCCTGCCTGGCGCTCGGCATTCAGGGGATAACACAAGGATCGGTCGGCTCGGAGACGCACGTGCACGTACGTCGATTTATAAAGGCAGTAATCCCCAATGACGTCAAACCCCAATTCACCGCACACATATAGACAGCTGCATGCGGATGAGGGGGTGACAATGTCCACCAGAATACCACATCCTTGAATTGCAGGCGGACATAAACCAATGTAAAAAGGTCAAATGTACTTTTTCACCCCCACACATAAAAAACACTATGAAAGATCATAGATGATTTGGTAACAGTTTGCATTGATCTCAGTTATGAGGAGCGGTATTCGCAAGTGAGTTGAAATAAAACCCTCACACACGAGGTGTCGTGGTGTGCATGCTTTTCCCTACATTTCTACTGTTATGTTCCCGTGTTCATCAAACAGGAAGAGACGCACCCTGTGTGATGCACGTATTACCTCATCACGAAACAGGTGCGCGATACCAGTATATTCATAGACGGGCTTGATTGACGGGTTGAACGTATGATTGACAGGTTGATCTCACAGTCGGGGTTGGAGATAGATACATAGATAAGCTCAGATTAATTATTGAGTGAATGTTTGGACAGATAATGGTGGTCGTCGCTCTTCACGTCTATACGCACCTGGGAACACTTTCCGTTATGAAACACTTCCACAGTACTGTTTGGAAATAACTCCCCCCCCCCCCCCCCCCCACAGTGCGGGTTAAATTCAGATACTCACAAATGTATATGATAGGTAGCATAGCATCCAGTGTATTACTTAGCTACTCTGTTATCATGAGTACTCTGGACTAATTCGTTGCCATTGCTTAGAACCCGTGAACATCCGGGTTAGTATTGGTCTTCAGCAACTCATGTTTGTCGTAAGAGGCTACTAACGGGATTGGGTGGACAGACTCGCTGACATGGTTGATTCATGTCATCGTATCCCAATTGCATAATCGATGCTCATGATGTCAATCGGTGGATAGTTTCGTTCAGACTCGACATGGGCTGAGATTTTGTCGAAAAACAAAAATTGTCCCCGAAAATGGTTGAAAAAAATAATTGTGCTTCCGAACGTTAAAATATCAAATACAAAAAATACATTGTTCCAAGCTGTTTTTTGCTAAGAAACATTTTAGGCTCATAGCTAAAAAATATCTGCTTTTTCATATGTATCTGAAAAAATAGCTGGGTTTGGAGCAGACAGACCAAGCATCATTCGGGTCGAATTTAATATTCGAACCCACGTCAGCTCATGGACACATCTACACACAAAGAGATGCAGCTGCTTAGCCTTTTTGAAAAGCGTAACTCAAAGTGTAACTGCAATGTAATAAGGATTACTATGTGCTAGCCAGACAGAGTTGTGCCCCTTAGACGTGCCAGGATCCGTGGATCGTTGGTTCAAATCCTTGATTCTACAGTATGCGTGCTCGTGGATTCATCAAAGAGCTAAATGTCACCGAACTCCTCCACTTCGTGTGGTACTCCAACATTACACTAACGCTCCTTGACATAAATGAAAATAGAATTCAAGTGGCGTAGCATACAACAAACAAACAAATGTCCTACGGCAGTTGGGGTAACTGGATTGCCGAATATAAGACCGACATGAAGGAGGTTGACTTTGACAAGTACTGTAGGTTTTTGCCACCGACATCCCTATCTCTATAATCAGGTGATCCCGGAAATCAAACATCTCTTATTACAGTGCTCACTTACCTGTGTTTGTATTCAGTACTCAGGATAAACCAGTGTAGATGTTTAAAGTAATGGGTAACAAGCTAACCTGCCCAACCTGTTTCCTATGAATCAAGTTTATAACAATACACATAGATAGACCCGATCTGAGACTACACTGGATATATCGAACCACACGGATCCCTTCGTTATAACCGAAATAGCGGGCACGGAGACTCAGGGTTTAAAATATGAATGCACAGTTGCATTTCTTAGCTGTGCAAGGATCCGCTTAAGGTCGACTCGAATCCTAAATCGTCCTGATTATGATCCTTGGTTTGCCAGCACCGAACCCGTTCTTTGTGTTTGACTAAAGGTGTACGTAGAACTAGTATTGAGAACATGCGGGGTGATGCAAATGGGAAATACTTACTATTTTTCCACATCAGTGTTGGACTCGACCCAAAGTTGCCGAGTCACACTATACAATTATAAGCCACTGCAGGGGATGAGATGGTTCGTTATCTTCAGTTAAGATTTGATTTCATCTATTGTTGGGTTAGATTTGTTTTCGCAGACGTCGATGGGTGTAGTTGACAGACATTTTGCCCAAGGCTCAGCTCGTTATGCTTGTCAATGGGTGAAACTTCTAATGCCTTCCTCCCAACCTGTTCCCCTACGTATACGCCTACCCACAACACCTAACTGTGTATCTGCTGACTGATACTGACCAATGTTAGGGATCCTGAATATTTGTGAAGATATTTTTATGAAATTGTGCGCTCAGTCTTCACATAAAAACATATTCCACAAAATATTCATATCCCTAACTTTTTTTGTTCTGTATATATGTATGCGTCTACCCGAGTATGTACTTACGTATGCACACTAACCACTAGGTATAATTTTACCTGCCTACATTCCTAATAGCCTACTTAGGGACTACCGACAAACAGACCTCCTGCTAAGGGCCCGCCGACAAACAGACCACAAACTTGGGATCTTCCGACAAACAGACCGCCTACTTAGGGCTGCCAACAAACAGACCGCGTACTTAGAATGTGTCGACAAACATACCATCTACCTTGATTTGCCTACATCATAAGCTACACGCCTTCATATCATTTTCCTACGAGCTGCACGCCTTCATACCATCTCCCTACGAGCTGCACGCCTCCATACCATCTTCCTACGAGCTGCACGCCTTCATACCATCTCCCTACGAGCTGCACGACTTCATACTATCTTCCTACGTGCTACACGACTTCTTACCATCTTCCTACCAGCTGCACGCCTTCATACCATCTTCCTACGAGCTGCACGCCTACATACCTTCTTCCTACGAGCTGCACGCCTTCATACCATCTCCCTACGAGCTGCACGCCTTCATACAAAACTTTTACGAGCTGCACACCTTCATACCATCTTCCTACGTGCTACACGACTACATACCATCTCCCTACGAGCTGCACGCCTTCATACCATCTTCCTGCGTGCTACACGCCTTCATACCATCTTCCTACGAGCTGCACGCCTTCATACCATCTCCCTACGGGCTGCACGCCTTCATACCATCTTCCTGCGTGCTACACGCCTTCATACCATCTTCCTACGAGCTGCACGCCTTCAAACCATCTTCCTACGACCTGCACACCTTCATACCATCTTCCTACGTGCTACACGACTTCATACCATCTTCCTACGAGCTGCACGCCTTCATACCATCTCCCTACGAGCTGCACGCTTTCATACCATCTTCTTACGAGCTGCACGCCTTCATACCATCTTCCTACGAGCTACAAGCCTACATACCTTCTTCCTACGAGCTGCACGCCTTCATACAATCTCCCTACGAACTGCACGCCTTCACACCATCTTTCTACGAGCTGCACACCTTCATACCATCTTCCTACGTGCTACACGACTACATACCATCTTCCTGCGTGCTACACGCCTTCATACCATCTCCCTACGAGCTGCACACCTTCATACCATCTTCCTACGAGCTGCACACCTTCATACCATCTTCCTGCGTGCTACACGCCTTCATACCATCTCCCTACGAGCTGCACGCCTTCATACCATCTTCCTACGAGCTGCACGCCTTCATACCATCTTCCTACGTGCTACACGACTTCTACCATCTCCCTACGAGCTGCACGACTTCATACCATCTTCCTACGTGCTACACGACTTCATACCATCTTCCTAAGAGCTGCACGCCTTCATACCATCTTCCTGTGTGCAACACGCCTTCATACCTTCTTCCTACGAGCTGCACGCCTTCATACCATCTTCCTACGAGCTGCACGCCTTCATACCATCTTCCTGCGTGCTACACGCCTTCATACCATCTTCCTACGTGCTACACGACTTCATACCATCTTCCTACGAGCTGCACGCCTTCATACCATCTTCCTACGAGCTGCACGCCTTCATACCATCTTCCTGCATGCAACACGCCTTCATACCATCTTCCTACGAGCTGCACGCCTTCATACCATCTTCCTACGAGCTGCACGCCTTCATACCATCTTCCTGCGTGCAACACGCCTTCATACCATCTTCCTACGAGCTGCACGCCTTCATACCATTTCCCTACGAGCTGCACGACTTCATACCATCTTCCTGCGTGCTACACGCCTTCATACCATCTTCCTACGAGCTGCACGCCTTCAT